TATGTAAATAAATCATATCTTAATCAGCACATAATCAATACAAGTAACTAATGAAAATTCTTCGCCATTTAAAGGCCAGTCTACTATAAAATTTTTCTTTGAGCTAAAATTAATCTTGGGTATTAAAAAACTGAATGTTTGATATTTTAAAACAAAAACTGATTTGGATTTTTAAAAAAATATTTCCTTGGCATACTCTTGTACACACATCTGTGTGGATAATTAATCACCCTGGTATCTATTTATTTCCACGTCCTTTCTCCTACATCAAATACTAAAGTAAGTAAGACTTGATAACTCAGCCCAAATAATTATTTGTTTGAATAAATTACTTCAGAGTATGGACTGGCCTTAATACTTATCAGTTGGAATTTTAGGTAGTAAAAAGTCACACAATAGTATAAAGCATTAGATATTAAATATATATATGTGTTAATAAATTGAAGATAATCAAGAAATCTTTTAGTTAATAATGTTATTTCACAATGGCACTGTATTTTTAAAAATATTAAATCTTCACAAAACACATTTTCTTTCTAAATTTTAAAAATATACATATTTACTTTTAGGCCCAATAGCTCAAATAAAAAAAATGAAATAAAAAAATGAACCTCGATTGTAGTAATGTATGCCATTCCAGGAAGAATCAAAAATGTCAATTAATTCACACTTAGTCTAAATGTTTATACAAATATAGATAAGCATTAACTTTTGCATCACAGCAATAGTTATATAAAGAATATAGTATTTCAATATTAATTTATGTTCATCAATACAAATATATGTTGTGAAAGCGTGAGTATGCACTCTTTTAATAACAACTATACAAATACATATATATTTATTTCAATAAAATTTATAAAGGATTTTTTCTTCTTTTAAAGGGCGGAGGTATTTCATCTTTTCGAAATTATTGTAAAACAAAATAATTAATACATTGATAATGTATATAACAAATTACACAATTAGTATTTTCTTAAAGATTAATTGTTATGTGAGACATCTACTAACATAAAGGGATAACTTCATGTCAATGTGTTTTAGCATCAATTTCTTTAAAATTGCATAAAATGACTAAAATAAATATTTACTTATGAATATATTTGTACTTCGAATACAAAGCTACAAAGGATGTTTCAGAAATTTATTTTATCAATTGCAAACATTTTACATTTTTTTTTGTTATTCAATTTTAGAATCAGTTATTCATTTCTATTAGTCGGTGTCTCATATATTATATGATTTCATTACAAACATTTATGAAATTATTTTTTAAATATTTATTTTAATTAATAAAATAACATTTGCTATTATTACGTGAATTCTTTATATATTTAATATGAAAATGCTTGGAATACTTGTTCACATGACAAAAGTCACTGATAATTCTAATTCTATTTTTTTTCTCATAATTAATAATATTAAATCCCATCTATATATAATCTAAATATAAAAACATCTTATCAATGAAACAGTCATTGAACAAAATAACAGAAATCTTCAAGTATAATTGTATTCTCATTTTAGTTTCTGGAATTTAGATTTTTAATGAAATAGAATTTAAAAAATGATTTAATTTAATTTAAGATAAAAAACTTTCACTGTGATCAATTTCCTGAAAAGTGCATGGAGGTACATGTTGTAGTCATTTGAACTATTAGAAATTTCACATTCCCCTCTATTCATTAAAATATGTTGAAAAATAAATGCTTGATTAAACACATTTCCCAATCATAGTCAATATAATGAATAACTAATATAAGATAATCCACAAAAAACTGAGGGAGTTCTGTGTTTTGGATTCCATGTAGTTCCCCATTATGGCTAAATATTTAAATCTACGTTTAATATGTACGTACTTTGTATATAACCTACAAATAATTTTTTTAAATTTTAATATACGATATTTGGCGAATAAACAATAGTAAACAAGGTTACTTCAGTGCATAATTATCACTTTTGCAGGAATAACTTGACAATGCATTGTTTCTTTTAACGTATCAATTTATGAATCATAAGCTGTATTATTTACATTGTAAATTAGCGGAAGTTTTATTAAGTGAAAAAATGTTATGAAAGAAAAATAAAGTATATATTTTTTCTATTCTCACTACTCAGTGAGGACTGACCGGTAAACTGAGAATTTCAGTGTATTCCAGTTTGTAAAACTGTTGTACTATAGTAACTCCAGTTTAAGGTGCTTTTAAAAATAAAAATAATAAATAATAATAATAAAAACTCTCGGTATGACAGAAACGATAAAAAAAAAAAAAAAAATCAATTAGCAAAAATTAGTAAAAGCAAACATTATTGGATTTATAAATTGGAAAAAAAAAAAAAAACTCGAAGATCTGCAAACAAAAAAAAACACCAAAAATTTTCAGAAACATTCTTTATTTATTGATTGATTATTACGTGTAAAACAATTAACTCATGAAAAAATCAATTAAACAGTCTTTCAAGAAACTTTTCTTTATTGAATAACAGTTTTATTCTACCAGGTAATTAAAATTTAAAAATCAAACGCAATAAAAAAAAAGGCTACTATTCTAGTAATATATAATTGTGACAGTATTTGAAAAAAAAATTACCTCATGCAAATTAATCTTTACTTGACACAGTGAAAGTTTTAATATATTAAAATAGTTTTTATTTTATGAATTTTTAACAATTAATTTATATTATATAATTAATTTTTATCAAGTCAGTTATTAAATAATTAATTTTCTTAAAAAACCTGCAAACATTATATTTTCCCATCAAACAGTTCATGAAACATTGAGTATTCATTATTATTTTTATGTAAATAAAGGTTGAATGCTTATTAAATGCAATCTGAAAGATTAAAAATTTACCACAGTTCTAAAAATAAAGTATAAAAAGAAATGAGAATTTTTATATTATACATAAAGATTAGATTTTATAACAAATTTAATTATACTATAGAATTTTAAAAGTTCAACCAATATTATAGGGGTTAAAATGTTAAAAACAGTGATAGCAACAAATATACAAATGGCAACTTAAAGCTTTGTAAGTACTTAAATCACATTATATATACATATTAACATTCTACCTAATAAGTTTTAATATTAACAATATTTTTTCAGCTATAATTACAAGCAGAGACAGAAAAGACTTATTTCAGAGGATAAACAAAGTTATTTATTTTCATATCTTATATATTTTTAAAAATAAACAATAACTTCAACTTCTTAGTATTTGGAAGACAAATATTTGAAATTAGATATCAACCGCTCAATTGAATAAACTCCTAATAAATAATTAAACAATGTTTAGCTGACAAATATGCAAATTTTTAAATGCAAATGTGGTGTAAGTCAAAAACTGAATCTTTAAGATATCTTACACTTTAGGAAAAAATATATAATGGCCGGTATAGAGTATTAATAGGTATTTCAAGGATAGAAATTATATTATACTTTCTTTTTTAAAAATAGTCAAGTTTCAATCATAAGGGGGCAGTGGTGGCTGATTGGCCTAACGAGTGTGCAAAATACGCCAGCATAAATACTTTGCAACCTGATAAACCGAAGAATTCAAGTTTAAATCTGAGTGCCTGGGGGTTTTAAATGTGCCGATAATCCACTGCCCGGAAAAAACCTGCATTGAAGAAAAGAAAAATAAATTCAAGCAAATACAATAAAAAACCATGAAGTTAAAACACTAAAAAATTAATTAATTAATACTGAAATGACACACCACTTTTGCTTTTACGTACAATAAATTGTTTTATCTAGAATCAATTTTAAATTTCACCAAGACTTCATTTAATATTATATATATTTTTAAATATAAAAAATGTTTGTATTGATAAATAATGCAAATTAAGATTATAGAACTTCAAATCTTCAAAGAAAGGCATGCCTAGTGCCAGTATTTCAAATAACAAAGGATTATTATTTTATTTTTAAACTTGATTGATATTAAAAATAATCTTTAAAAAATCGATTATTATGGAATTTACTGTATTTTATCAAAATGAGAATAAGTTTTTAACAAGGAATGATAATAATAATATCTTGAAATTTAAGTATTACAGCCACAAAAGAAAAAAAAGGAATTTGTTAGAATGAAAAACCAATGCAAGCCTCTCAAATAAATCTGTTATCACTCCGCAATGGAATACATGAAATAATATCAATTAACATCATATATGAACTGAGAATTCTTAAACTACTGAAAAATAACAAATTGAATTATCAATGAAGTCGACAGTCAGTTTCAATATGTCCAGAGATAACAAGAATAAGATTTGGGAAAATTTGGATGGAGATCTTTACAATCATCTTTAAGCTTTCACTTTGTTTTTATCATTGAAAAAAAATTAAGGTAAGTCATTACACTGAGCACTAGGAAAAAAAATCTATAAATTATTTTGTGCAGACAAACTAAATTTACATAACATATAATTAATTTATTTTGAACTAAGAGTGAATGATTTGCTTGAAATTATCATATTTCGATAGCAAACATCACAAATTATATGTAGTTGTAAAGGGCTTCACTTTACTAAGTGAATTGATACACAACTTAAAATAAAATAACCCCTTGACAGAAAAATTATTGTGTCATAACTATTGGTGTAAATCTAATTTATTATTCTAAGCTAAGAATTTTTATATATTTTTTCTTTTTCATATATAGAATAACTTAATACTACATATAAGTCTTCAAACATTTCAAAGTTGTTACTTTTACATGTATGATTTCTTGAAATTAATCAACAAATGGTTCCATCTAGTTACCTTTGGAATGAACCATAAAAGCACCATGGCTGACAAACTTACAATTTATCAAGCTCAGATTTAGAATTCTCACAATGCATTTTTGAAGATTTTCTTACATTACTTCTCAAAATTTGATATTAATCATTATCATAATTAAATACGAATAAACCAATTTTTTATTTTATTATTTTTTTTTTCATTTTTAAATATATATATAAGAATCTGTTTTAAAAATCAAAAAGTAATAAAGTCGGGTTGAAAAACTCAAAAACAACCTATAACAGTTTTTGTTCTTAGTATGGTATAAAATCAAATTCATTTTCATGAAATAAAGTTAAATCCCTTAGAAAATGTTAATTAAATTACCATCTATTAAGATCATCATACACATTTTAACATATAAAAATTTAATCTTTCAGAATTAAACTTTTAATTATTTAACCAATTAGGAGAGGTCTAGAGAGGGAAGTGAAGTTTCTCATGCTTCTAGCTCTAGGTCGTCCCCTAACAGTGAAAGGACTAAGAGCAAGCTGAGGGGTATTAGGAACGCCCAAAGGCCGATGAGATGATGCAATAGGTATTTTAATGTAGTTTCCATTGTCATCTCTTATGCTAGAGAGAAATGCTGATTTTGTAGAAGGAGTCCCATAGCTTGGATAATACCTGCAAAAATAATTAAATAATTTACTTTTTAAGTTGAGAGATGATTATGGATTATGGATAACCTCAATGAAGTTATAAAATATTCTTTTTGTAATATGATTAGCTGGTTACTTTTCTTTTGCACAGGAATGACAACAAAGAGCATGGTTATTGATATTTCCTAAGGGAGGTGACCGTTATTTGTTTTTAATTAGGTATACTATTGATGTTTTGCTGTGAATAGTAATGGATAATGTATTAATTGTGAAATAAGTATGTTATGGTTTGGGTAGTGGCATAGCTTAGCCGTGGTAAGTACAATTTTTTCATAAAAGTGTACAATATGCTAAGAGTCTTATATTTCTGCAGCTGCTGGAGTAGGCTTGGTCACCATACATAACCGAAGGCAGAGGTTATGTCTAACAAGAGTATCATGACATACTTCTCCGCCTTCTCTTCAACGTCATGGAGTACTCTCAGCAGGGCATCTGCAGTTCCCCTGCATTTGGTACATCCATACTGCCATGAATGGGATGATTTGAAAAAACAGGCTGTAGGCTCATGACTATCAGATTCTCCAACACCTTACTCATAAAAGAGATGAGACAGATAAACCTATAACACTTAGCTATCTGTTTATCCTTGTCACCTCCCTTTTAAATAAGTCATCAGTAGACACCAAGACATCAGTAGCATCCTGTCTGAGAACAGTGTTCATTAAAGAGTACATATTCTCTTTAATATGTCACAAGGCCAAGAACTCCTTTTTTTTTTATCAACTAATTTGTCATTGGTTGTTTGACACATGTCAAATCCACGAGCTTTCTAACTGAAGAAGTCAATTAATTCTGGCAACAATTTTGCCATAAGCTATTTCAGTTATTCCTTCAATGTCCCAAAAGAAGGGAGAGCACTTTCGATAATATTGGTGTTTTCAGAATCTTCTCACAAATTCCCTTTTAAAAGTTCATAAAAATCCTTCATCCTTAGGTCAACCCAAGATTTTTTTTTTAAAATCTTTTTATTGAGAAATAATACATTTTGCCACATTTAAGGGCGCTGAGTACTAAAGCTGAGTGAGGCCCATTCATACTATATATACAATGCAATAAAAAAAAAAAAAATATATATATATCTATATAACAAAGGTAAAAACTATAAAACTAAAGAAATGTAACTTAAATTCAAATTAAAAATAATAATAATAATAATAATAAAAAAAATATATATATATATATAAAAAAAAATACAGAAATTGGTAGCAAATTAAATAAATCATAAGTAAAACAAATAGATATATAAAAAAGAAAAACATTCATACTTAATATATAAAAAAGAAAAACATTCATACTTAATATATAAAAAAGAAAAACATTCATACTTAATATATAAAAAAGAAAAACATTCATACTTAATATATAAAAAAGAAAAACATTCATACTTTATATACAATCAGCCAAGGGAGCTCCGAGTCCAGCCCTTTCCTCCATGTGTGAAAGACAAAGCGAGACTCTAAGAGATCCCAGCGCTTCTCTCTCAGCTGCGTCACCGGCAGGAGTCCAGTGGAAACTGAGAGAGGGCACTAAAGCAACAGACGCTCATGACGTGAGTGGAGAGGCTGGCCATTGCCAGAACTCCAGTGACAGTCTTTACAAAAGGTCTCGAGGCCACTGCCGTTTCAACCTTCGAGGAGGGTTGTAGGGGTGACTGGAGCTGGATAAGGATTGTGCTAAGGAGTTAGGATGGTGGATTAGGTTCAGATGAAAATTTGAGAATCGAGATGGAATAACGTCAAGGACATAAGGGATGTAAAGGACATGATGTAGGGTTTTGTTTGTAACATAATAAGGAGCATTGACTATTATACGGAGGACTTTAGACTGAAAGGATTGAATGCGTTTGATGTTCGAAAATTTAGTTGCCCCCCACAGTTCAAGTCCGTAGGTCCAGATGGGTTTGAGTATGGTCTTGTATATTAATAGTTTGTTTTCTATTGAGAGATTGGATTTTCTGTTAAGTAGTCTGTATAGCAGGCCAAATCGTCAGTTAAGTTCTTGTCTTTTAAGTCTGGTATGTGGGTTCCAAGTTAGTCTTTTGTCTAAAAGGAATCCAAGATACCGAACTGTGTCTGAGACGGGGAGAGGTACAGAATTGAAAAGGATATGTGGACAGGATCTGTGTCGGAGGGTAAAGATGACATGCTTGCATTTGGATTCATTTATCTTAATGTGCCAATTGTTGCACCATTGCTCAATCAGGGAGATGTGTCTTTGTAGGTTTAAGGATGCTGTTTTAGGATCTGAGTGGGATGACAGGATGGCGGTATCGTCAGCTAAGGTTGCTAGAAGGGTATCGGGGTTGGTTGGAATGTCAGCGGTGAAGAGGATGAAGAGAACTGGGCCCAAGACACTGCCTTGTGGAACACCAGCTTCAATTGGATAATAGTTGGAGAATTCAGTGGTGCAGCGGACTTGAAAGGAACGATTTGAGAGGTAGGATTTGAGGACTAGGTACAAGGATTGGGGTAAGTGAGTTTTGAGCTTGAAAAGCAAGCCATCATGCCACACCCGGTCGAAAGCTTGCGCTATGTCCAGAAAGGCACTGGTGCAATATTGCTTGTTTTCAAGCCCAGAGGATATATGATCAACAACGCGAAGGCCTTGTTGAACAGTGGAATGTCTTGAGCGGAATCCAAACTGATGGGATGGGATATTGTGGGTTTCGAGTATGGGTAGGATGCGTTTGAGAAGGATTTTTTCAAAGATTTTGGAGAGGATTGGGAGCAAGCTTATTGGTCTATAGGATGAGGTATTATTGACAGATTTACCTGGTTTTGGGAAGAGAATGATTATGGAGTGTTTCCATGTCAGAGGAAAGTGAGTTGTGCGGAGAATACAGTTGTATAGGTATGTGAGGAATATAATTGCTTTTTTGGGAAGTTGTCTAAGGATATGGGAAGTAAGGAGATCATGTCCAGGGGATTTTCGAGGTTTTAGGTTGCTTATAAGGAATTTGACCTCAGAGGGGTTGACAGCTATAGGAGGCAAGAAGAGAGGAATAGGAGAAGAGAGGAATTTTTTAACTTCAACAGTGAGGGTGGAATGGAGTTTGGGGTGGGGAGTTAATGTTTTGGATAGGTGTTTGGCAAATTCTCCAGCTCTAGTCTCATCTGACGAAGCCCAGGTTCCATCATCACATCGGAGGGGATGGGAAACAGAATGGTATTTAAGTATTTTTCTGGTCAACTTCTAGAGGGAATTATCATCGGTAGATAGGGAAGAGAGGTAGGAATTATATGATTGGGATCTAAAGGAAGCTAAGGTCAACCCAAGATAGATTTTCTGATAGATAGACTGTGAGAGATACTCAATAATGGTTGTCAGCAAGAAAAATTTTCTGAGTAAAGAATGTATTTACTCCACTCGTGACCCCTTCACTATAATTGGTAGGTTTTGAAATCTCCCTTGGTTCTAAGCTCACAACTGGGCTAGAATCATTTTTATTAGAAAAAAATCTTTCCCATTTCTCCAGTTGCATCATAGAAAAAAACTCTGTGTGCTGGATCAGGAATACTAGTAAATATAATCTTATAAACTTCAGATTTCTCAACAGTTAGCTTTGGCAAATCTGTATCTTGGAATCTAAGAGCTGAGCAGTTAGCTCAGAATATTAATTACAGTTTTTTATGATCAACCATGATTGAACTAAACAATTTTTTTCTAGTTCATCAGTTATTCAGAACTCAAATTTTAAGCAATTTGACAAAAGTTATTATCACTGAAGGGTAGGAAATCTATTATTTCTTTGTCCCATTTCTGTGTTCTACGACTAACTTCCTTGTAAACCCAGCCTAGTGGTCTGAAATAAATTTTAGGCCTCTATCGAAGCACAACTTATTTATCTATTCGTTGGCCATTTAATAAAATAAATTGCAAATTTCAATGCTTAGTAAAAACCTTCATTTTTCATTTCTCAGGATTTTCATACATTTTTTTTTTTGCTATATAGATAAATTACACACCATCCACTCATTTGAATCCATTAAAAAAACAGATTCGGCAATCTCATAAAAAATCCAGATATGAATCAGCATGAAAACTGAAATGTTCCCTAATAATGTGATTAGCTGTATATATGTCTATTTAATTGATACACTATGTTAAATTTTATACCGGCAATCGTTTCTCTATGAAACACAAAAAGTATACTTCAATGAAGTATTTACAAAACAAACATTTATTTTTATAGATATATGGAGAAAATCATAAATAAAAGCATCAAGAGGAAAAAAAAGTAAAAGGAAATATGATTGAACAGTGGATAAAAAAAATAAGATTTATAATTCATAGATTAAAGCAAACAGTGAGAGGGAAAAGAAGCTATTCAGGGAGAGAGAGAGAGATAGAACTAAATTAATTGTAAAATAACTACCTTTCTGTAAGTGGAAGATACTTATCAAACCAGGAAGACTCGCACAACAACGCGGGTCACACTGCTGTCAGATATTTAACAGGACAGACCCCTTGTCGGTTGTCCCCACAACGAATCATCACCATACCATCTACTTCATCACCAATTTGAATGACAATCTAAAACATTTTTATATTGTAGCAAATATTTAAAATAACTATACCGTACAATGTCAGCAATCCAGATTAAATGCTACAGGGATTGTTGGGACTGTAAAGAGATTAGTTAGAATAATAAATGAAAATTCAGTAAATACATATAAAATATAACTTTATTGAATGGATACTGGGAGAGGGAGGGGGATACTTCACTTTATTGATCATTTAAAATAATAAATAAATAAAATAATTTCGAGTTCTGAAATCAATCTCATACTTAGTAATAGTTAAATAACACAATACGATTAAGGCCATAAGGTCATCAATTATAATATTTTTGGTTTCCCAATTTATTGTGATTTAGTGGTTGAAGTGGTGTATATATATATTCTATTCTATACATACATACATACATACATATATATATATATATATATATATATATATATATATATATATATATATATATATATATATATATATTTATATATTGGTTTGTTTTCTACTTTCATTTCAATTTCATATTTTTTTATTAATTTTGTTATGTTTTCTTATAAATTTTTGGTTTTGTAAATATATTTAAATTTAAGTGTTAGGTTAAGTGGAATCGTGAAGATATTTCGGCCCTAGTACAAAAAGCTATCCAAGAATTCCTTACGTCCCTGAGCATCCAGGAAATGATTACTAAGAAAATTGTAGAGAAAACTGTGCCTATGGTGATTGAGGGACTTTCGGTGTTCATTCACCAAGACCCTTATCCAAAGCCGGTCGGTCCCTCTCGAGTAAATCTCAGATAAGAAAAGAAGAAAGCCCAGAAAGACTCTCAGAGTATACTGATTCTTTCGAAATAGTGAAGAGTAAAAGAAGTAGAAGGAAAGCCAAGGTTGTCAGCAAGGTATTGGCAGATAAAGAAGAAGAAGCACTCAGCGGCTAATGTTGATACCCAACAAAGCAAGCCGATGAGGATGGCAGAGATTTTACAATCTCCGCCATTGAAGCCAGCAACAACCCCTAATGCTACATATATTACGATTAGTGGGGACGGCAAAAGTCCGATGGAAATCATCAATGGAATACTCTCCCCTGCCAACATAGGTGTCAAAGCTTCCATAGTCCGGGCTACTAAGGTGGGCTCGGTCTTAGTCCATATGGAAGATAGCAGTGAAAATGATAGATTGACAGGGCCTGAGAGCAACAGGACTAGAGGCTAAACTCGCACTTAAAAGGGAAACCAAGGCTAGGAATTAGGGGAGTGCCTAACTCATGGACAGCAGACGAGTTGATAATGCTCCTAAGTGAGAAACTGAGTGAAAAGTCAAACCCTGTCTCTCTTATAAATGAAGGACTACTGCCGATCTTCTCTTCATCATCCAGAAATGGAATAACCAAGAACTAGCTGATAGAACTGCATCCTACGTTGTGGTTTCAGCTGCTAGATATGGCGAGCTTATATTGAAGAAGATATATCCGCTATGGAGACGATCATAGCAATGAATAGGATAACCTTGACGTCCCTCGATGCATGAAATGCCAGGACTACGGGAAGACTAAGACCACATGTCCATCAGATGCTCTTGTTTGCATTTGGTGTGCAGCTACTGGCCACGTCGTTAAGGAGTGTCTGAAGAAAAAGGACTTAGTTAGACCTGCCTGTATAAACTATGTGCGGGAAAATGCCCTCCCCAGACAGAAAAAACACAAGGTGGGTAGCAAAGAGTGCCCTGTAAATCTAACATGATCAAAAGAGTTGGTGAAAAGGACATCCTATGATTAAAATCTCCATCCTCCAGCTCAACATGGGCCGCCGGTGTCAAGTAGTTGAAGAGCTTCGCCAACTCTCACAATGCTATGACGTTATGGCGATACATGAAGTTTGGTCTCACGTCAAGGGTAATAGCTCTGAGCAGTGGAGAGAGGAGGTCCAGCGCTGCTATTGTGGTTAACAACCCAAACCTCGACATGATGGATCTGAGACAATATTCCATGGTGGATAGTGTTGCATGTTACGTCAAATGGGGTAATGTTGCATTCACACTAATTTTGGCATACCTACCAGACGGGCGTGACATTGAAGAAGATATATCCGCTATAGAGGCGATCATAGTAATGAATAGGAACGTGATCATGTGCTCAGATACCAACTCCTGGAACACGGTTTGGGGTTCCAATCGAACTGACAGAAGAGGCATTAATAAACTTAGTGAGTTTATTGCAAGAAGTCAGCTGATAGTTTGAACAATCCATCTGATTCTCCCACCTTCTCTGGACCGAGGGTTGAGAGCTGGATCGATGTAACGATGGCTTCTCCAATGCTAGTAAGGCATATTGACGATTGGAACCTCAGATCTGAAATGAGTTCCGACCACAAAGTACTGGCATTAAGCTCGGTGCAGGAGAAAAGATGTTCCCGTGGCATTGAAAATGGTTATATAACCCGGAGGAAAGACTGGAGGGCCTTCCAGTGCATGTTGGAGGGAGAAATCATCGATGATGACTGGGATGAGGTAGACTACGTAAGTGGAGATGAACTGGACTACAGAGTGTCTAGGATTACCAATGCCATCCGCAATGCTGCCGAGATCTCCTTTCAGCATCAGAAGGTGAGGGTTCTACCTGTCTCATGGTGGACGCCAGCTTTAACTACCATGAAAAGAGACCTCTACAAAGCTCGGCGGTTGTACCAGAATTGTAGATGCGACGAGAGGCACACTCCACTTTGTAATGAGTACAAATCTAAGACCAAGGTATATCGAAACGAGATGCGCTCCTAAAAATGGAAGTCCTGCCATGAATTCATAGTAAATGAATCTACAAAGAACCCCTGGGGCATCCCCTGGGGTGCCATGGGCAAGATGACTCCACAACAGACATTGGCAGCTCTCAAGCATGGAGGAGCCCCGGCAATCTCACTTGAGGAGGCAACCTATTTCTTCATTGATGCAACATACCCCAGGGATGATCCATCTCAGGATGATGAAGAGGATAACTTTGTGAGACGATTACCATGGGACAGAAATGACCTTCCTATTGCTGTGGATGGACAAAGAACTGGATGTGCTCCAGGACTTGACACAATTGATGCAGCATTCTTGAAAAACAGTATCCTCCAGATAGAAGACCAGCTCCTGAAAATTTACCATGATTACCTCGAGAGGGAATACTTTCCAAACACGTGGAAGATTGCCGACCTGAGAATGATCTACAAGGGAGGGGGCAGGGATAGGCAGGTCCCTAAGTCATACAGACCTATATGCCTTTTTCCAGTTATGAGTAAAGTCCTGGAGAACCTTATGTTAGTAAATCTAAGATCAGTTCTAGCGAGAGTGAGCCATCCATGGCAGTATGGTTCCACGAAGAGTAGAGGAACCGCTGATGCACTATTGAGAGTACGCGTGGATGTTGAAAAAAGGGAGGAGCGATATGTCATGGTGATGCTCTTTGACATATCCTCTGCCTTTGACAGCATCTGGTGGCCGCTCGTGCTTCAGCAGTTGCAGAGATACGATACTCCCAGCAACTTATATAGCCTTGTAAGGAGCTATCTAAACGACAGAAGGGTAAAGGTTCGAGGAAGCTCATATGAGATGGAAGCCTCCGTAGAGAGGGGCTGTCCCCAGGAATCAGTCCTTGGTCCAACTCTATGGAAACTGGATTTTGATGAGTTGCTGGGTGTTTTGGAAGAAGAGCGGTTCTGAGCTACTGCCTACATGGACGATTTGGCTGCAGCTGTGGCCTCCAACAGCAGAGCCAGCCTCAAGGTAGAGGCGGAACGGTGTGCCAACCTAGTGACATGATGGTGTGGGAGTAAAAAGCTGAAGATGGCTGCTGAACGCAGGTCATACTCCTTAAAGGGAAGACTGACAAGGCCCATCCTATCACCTTACTGATCCAAGGGGAACAAATTCGTCCAAATGAGGTGATAGCTTATTTTGGAGTAAGATTCGGAAGAAACTTCAACATAAAGCATCACTTGGACTACTTGGCTAGCAGGATCAACATTTCACTGAATGGGCTCAGTCGAATTGGGGGCATTCTCTGGGACCTCAGATACCCGGCGACAATGACAATCTATATAATAGTAATGCAGGGTATTCTGAGGTATGCGTCCCCTGCCTGGTACCGTAAAAGCAGAAGAACAGGTTGGCGACGATACAGAGAACGGCTACAGGACTATATCACATGAGGCAGTGCAGGTCTTGGCAGGAGAGGTGCCTCTCGACCTTATCCTGCTTGAAGATGCTGCAGTGTTCGGCTATAAGAGAGAAGGCTCAGCAGGGGTTCCGGAGTGTCTCCGAATGAGGATTGCAGATGAACTCAATAGATGGAGACAAATAATCCGGGAGTACACCATTGAAGAATGGAATACGATGGTTGATAATCCTGAAAGGAGCGACCTTAAGAAAGTACTTCCTGACTATAAACTTGCGATTAACAGTGAAATGGGTGCTCCCAGATTACTGGGTTTCGCAAGTCCTCATGGGGCATGGGGGCTTTCGGGCCAAACTGCACAGGGTTTGAAGGACTTAGGAACATGCTATGGAGGAAAATGGGGTTATTTGTTATAACAGAAGGTGATTTCTCCTCCCTCATGAAAAAAGAAAACTAGCCGTACTTCGAAGAGTTCGTGTATGTGTGGAAGACGACTGTTGGATCGGAACACTTTAACCTTGGAGCTCCTAGGTGAAGAGAGGAGGCGGCAGAAGGCAATCCATAATGGACAAAGCTTCTAAAGGTGTGGACTTCATTTGAATTTTAGTTGAAGTACTAAAGCCTAAATGGCAGGGGTAGCGTGATGTTTATATTATTTATTACTCAACCCTCACCAAAACCCCTATGGCCGTAAGGCAAGGAAGGGTGTAAATAAAAATATAAATATAGTAGTTAAATAACAAAAATTTAAAGAATAAATATTTAATGAAAATATTACCTGATCTCTTAATAACATATTATCTCCAACTTGCAGGTTGTGCTTCACCTGTAAAGGTGTTTCTCCAGGTTGAAGTTTTGCTACATATTGGCTTGGAAAATATCCTACACGTCCTAAGCATTTTCCTCGCCACCAATCAGGATCAGATGTATCAATCACAGTCACTTTATAGCCAGCTCTAAAAAAAACAAATAGATATCATATTGTCATTTGTATTGGTCATTAGGCAACAAACATTTTTTATTTTAGATGAAGTAATTTTCTGAGGTAAAATACTAATACTGGTGGGGAGAACTAGTCCAGTAAGTAGACCTTGTGGTCCTTTTTGATCTTGAGGTTGGAGTAAAACTGTATAGATTCATTTCCTGAGGCCGCTGAAAAATAAATATTGAACCCACAATGTTCAAGAATGGGCACTCTGAGAACAATATCCCAACATGCTTGGCCATCACGTCCTCTCTAAGTTAAGATATCATATGATTGCAACGGGAATAATATAAAACAAGTCCTTTAAGTGTTTAATGGCTATTTTAATTTTAAAGTTAAAATAACGATCATAATTATAAACAAATATTATCTAATAAAAAGAACTATACCTTTCCTCATAGAGCAAAATAAAGAAATGAAAAACAGTTTTTGTCACATATAAAGTTATAGTTGTAAACTTTGTTTTGGCCAAGCAATTTTTTATTTGATCTGGGATCGATCACAGATTATATGTGGTGGAGGTTTAATGAAATAATAATAAGTTAAACGAGTTTCTATTTTTTTTATACCACTAACAAGTATTTTATAAGTAAAAGTTGCATTTCTTCAGATATATTTTAATCATTATTTCTTAGATATAATAAAGTCAACTCAAATTTTTAAAAAAATCATACTTTTTGTTTAAAAAAATTATAGAAAAGTAATTGTTTTTTACTTTTTACCAACTAACTGATTATTCAATATAATTTTATAAGATTTAAAAATAATATGTTTTGGACTTTACCATATTTTCGTGTTTCCTATTTTATACAATTCTAGTCTTTGTTTGAAATATACTAGTTTATAGTATATTTAGGGTCAATTTTAAAACAAAGAGAGATTTTTTTTCCTCAATAATATGAATACCACAATGATTCATTACGTTTTTGAAATAAAAATAAATTGTATACATTTTGCTTAACCCAATAAGCAACTTTTATAACATACAATGGAATCTTACAAAATGAAACATGATAGATTTATAACTCACTTCAGATCAAGTTCATCAGAATGTCTTGATTTAAAGTTGTACAGTACAACATACAAATTTGTTGGGAGAAGGCGATGAGGTTTCTGAAATAAGATAATATTATTAATATTTGCTTTAATTAAAGAAAGTAAACTAAAACACAAATTTTATTGAATTTCCCTCACAGGGGATGGACAAGGAGAAGTACTAGCACTTGAAACAGACTTTTCATTATCGTCAGGTAATTCCACAGAACTCATACGCATATTCCTTGCTGTTAAAAGTCTTCGGTTGTGCACTGGACTAGAAGGAGCTGAAATCATAATTTATAATTATGCTGCCTTGGGAGAGATTAAAAAGACAAAAAACTGATTTATCATTTTATAAAATGAAAATTAATTAAGAGGCCTTTTGAGATGAACACAATCATTTTAATCCCACAAGAGCTTATGTGTTTTAAATATTATTTTTAGAATAATAAGTTTATTATTTCATATTAAAAACTGATTAACAACATTTAACACCATTCTTTATCTTGATTTCTATGTATTAATTAAATAACATTATATTACAAAATTCTATCTCAGATATCCTTGATTTTCGGTATCATGTTTCTTCAAATCATAATTTAAATATACGATACAGTTCTAGAGTAATGTTAATAGTATCATTAATGCATATGATACATGACAAATAAACTAGCTACAGAATCATTGCAATTAATAATAAAACTATATACAAGAGTTTGATTCTAAGAATAATAAAATTCACTCAACCAGTCTCTCATATATCACCAATTTAGGTTGCCTAGTTTTGTTAACAATCATAGTTTTGGGATTGCATAGAGCTTGGTATAGAAATTTTTAAGTCATCATTCAAAATTAAATCTTTATCCATACTACTTCTGAATCTTCATTTATATCTATCTTTAAATATTTAATCAGTTGAGCACACAATACACCTGCATACAGAATTTTTAAATATAACAAAAATTGGAAAATGAAAAAGTTGCTGAATGGAAGTTATGTTAACTGAATAGGAATTGATTAATTAAGCATCATCATTAATATATTATTCAGCTCGGCTATTTAATAATCTTTTTAATTTTAATATGCTGACAACTTAAACTATAGTTTAACAAAAATAATATTGAATAACCGAATAATTGGAGTATTATTAAAATATATATACATATATTTTTTTAATAATATATATATATATATATATATATATATATATATATATATATATAGTATTAAATTACGCTTCTTGACTTCGAATTTTTGCCATGAGTCTACTAGCAGCTTTTTAGGGCTACTATTGGCGACAGCAGTGATCATTTGGATCTCTTCTTCAAGATATCGAAGGAGCACGTACTTTACTAACTGGACGCGATCACAATTCACTTCCTCTTTATCAGGCGCTTTCCTGAAGGATGGTTGGCAATCTCTACCCAATTTTTTTATAGGATAGGGGATTATCAGCCCTATACCCAAACCTCAACCTGGAGGACCAGGAGTTATAGTGTAAGGCACAGGGGTTGCTCACCTCCCTGTGAATATCTGGGTGGGGACGTTACACCATGCACATGAAGCATTCGAGCCTGTATTACTTTTTTTTTCAAGAATTTTTTTTCAAAACAGTAATATAGACTCACTTCAGTCAATTTTATTAAAAATATATGATTATTAGATGATTAATTGTTACTAAAAAGACCTCTTAATTTTTGACCATATTAATACAGAAAAACTAGAACTACACTTTACCTACAATAATTGTGTAAAATAAAAGTAATATTTTCTAGAGAATAATAAAAAACTAACTACTTCTATAACTTATAATTCTATTATTTAGGAATAATAATTTAAGACATATTTAAAACTACTTTGACCCAAATCGGCAAAAAGTAATAGGAAAATGATAGCATCTCAGGATCTATCTAGTGCTGCAACCTATTACAATTTGTAAATTTTGTTTATATTTTCATAGCAAGAACCTAGGAGTATTTTCAAACATTTTTTTCAGTTTGGGTTTAAGTAGCTCAAAATTACAGTACCTAATTAAGAATTTTTGTTCTGACCTAAAACTAATGTTTTTTTTCTTAAAGTTTACTTAGAATAATTTTCTTAATCAATAATTTTAAAATACGAACTTAGCATTAATAATGTAAAATCCATAATTTTTGTATGAATAATTTATTTAAATATTCATTAAAAAAAGAAGTTTTTTTTTAAAGAAATAAAAAGCACTTTATATACTACGAAAAAATTACTATCCAAGTTAATTTCAAATTGCTTGAATATCTAGCACTAGCTGCTGCATTACATTATATCTAAGATTTATGAGAGAGCAAGCTTATCTCTTGTAAAAATTATAACTGGGACTAATGGATATAATAGGCAACATATAAAAAATGAATGCAACATTATAAACGAATCTGTTTACAGCGTTACTTGACCAATAGGTGTCCCTCCATGGGTCCTTTCTGTAAGTTCGGTGGCAACGTTTGAATGAATCACAATGTGATGTAACTGGAAATATTTTTTAAAACATCAAAAGTCAGCAGCTAGGTTACTACATGTCCTCCTGCCTCAATTTTAAACTGCATTATCGTCAAGAGTAATTCTTATCCATTGTTTCTTGAAAATATGGTTAATATTGAAAAGAAACAAGACGTTTTGTAATGTACAGCAGAGGTGGCCAACTTCTGTGTATGTGTAAATATATTTTTGAATATTTTTAAAACGTTTCAAGCAGATGATCATGTATGATCAAAATGTGGGATTGGCCATTCCTTTTGTACAGAACATTTTCATTATAGCGTTCATATATCTGAGTTTCCAGGGGATAGATAAATAAACTAAATATAACTCATGTGTTTAGAATCAAAAAGACATTTTTAAATTATTTTTTTACTTTTTTTGCAGAGAGTAATATTTGATAATAGTTGTCTATTATTGTTGATCATAAACTCAATTATTTTATATTCCAGAACATAGATGCACTCTTTCTTAATGTTAATATTCATGTACTAAACTATCCACTTATTCCCTGAAATCAAAGATATTCTTACTTAAGGAGGCACTAGGACATAAAAATAAATTAAATATTATGTTAAAGTATTTAGAAAAGATATAAGACCATGCTAAAAAGAAGTAATGTATAATTCAGTTAACAGCATAAAGGTGGCACATCAATACGTTGAGTTGCAGCCTAAGAATATTCATCAAAAGTAAGAAACAGATAAAAGCTTTCTAGCTCTGCATTGAAAGGTTTAGCTTTTTATAATCTTAAAAGCAAAAGTAAAATCAACATATAGCCTGCTATAAACATTTTGGTTTTTTGAAAACCAATTACTCTTATAATATCCTGTAATGTGAATTTGTCAATCGATATTTTTATTGAAGTGAACATTTTTTTCAAAAAATACCTTTGACCCATTGTTAATTGTTAAAAGAGAAGAAATAGTATGAAGCACGAGGCAAATAAATAATAAATAAGAGCATTAGAGTGAAACTGCATCAAAACAAAGTTGAGCAAGGAAGAATCATTTATTTTTTAATACATTTTTTGAGTATTCAAAATGTTTATTAGCACATCTAGTTTGTTATTTATAATGTATAATAGGTAAAAATCATTGATAAATGCTGAATATTTAAAAATGATATGAAGCTAACTACAATTATCTACATTATCCATTATTCTGCTCTTAATCAGGTTTATATAGGTAAAATATGTAAATCTACTGAAATAACTATGATCAACAATGTATTTGTGTATGCATAAGCACACACATTAAAATAAATAATTAATATGATATACTGTAAACATTGACTACAGCAAGCTTACATTTGAATTCAAGACAACTTAGTATATTTTTATTAATTACAAAAGCACTAACATACATTAGAGAATAATTATTGGCAAAGAAATGATAAACCTAAAGCTTTTAAATTTTTCTAAAATGTTTCTATAAAGAGAGTTTTGCTCATGAGATATGAGTATTTATTGAATGAATATAATACAAAATTAAAACTATACCATAAATAATAAACAAGTCAGTTCCTTTTGTATTTAGTAGAATTCCATTCGAAAATCATAATTTTAAATTAAGATTGTGAGTTATAACAAGAGAATCAGTTAAAGTTATAAAAGTCATAAAAAAAAAGAAAAAGAAATGCCCACGTTTCAACTGATATGTAATGAAGATTAATTTTAATTTACAATTTTGGTATTCATATAGTGTTAAAAAATTACAACAGGAATTTTCATGAAATTCAGTCCACCTGTGGAAAAACAAACTAGAAATTTTGCTAATAACTCTAAACCTTTAAAATTGTGAATATAATAAATTAAAATTTTTGTAGTTTAAAAACATATATATTTTTTTTTTTTTTTTTTCGGTTGGTGTCACAGACCATGAAGATCTTTGGCTGTGAGATGCTGTCTCCTTAAAGACGTATATTGCCTGCGGGAGCACAGATAGCCTGGAGGGGATCACCCAGCCCCATGGTGCAGCGGCAGGTCACCCGTAGCTCCATAGCTGATCCCGTTGAGGCCAATTGGGCAGTGTCCTTCCCACCGTCTTACTTGGGTTCAAGGACAGTGACAAATCAGTCTAGATACATGAATTATGGCTGCTCAGCGTCAGCAGGCGTACGAGGACCTATATTTCTTTATAAAATTTGCATTGCTTAATTTTGATGACCTATTGCAAGCGCCTTAGCCCGTACGGCTACCCCGACCTTCCCCCCTATTTATATAATTTTAAAGGTCATATTTAAAAATGATCCAGTTATTAAAAAGGTTAAAGATGTAATTTAAAAGAATAAAATAAAAAAAACAACTGCTGAGTAATATTATTAAATAATGGTAATAGTGATATTAAGATCACAAATTTAAACCCCAACTCTATTTCCTGTATGATTTGTCACCAGGAGAATTTCCACCAAAAGAATAAATTTCAAATCAAGAGGCCCAAAAGTTGATAATTTGGAATAAAGCTACATTATTATTATATATTTTTAAATCTGTAACATATACAGTAAGACTGAGCAGTTAGGATTATAAGTGGTACAGATATTGGTAATAAATACGTAAGTAAACAAGTCTAGCTCATTTTGCCAACTTCAGGCGGTTATTTAAACCTGATCCTATTTCTGACCTTATTTTATTATAAGAGGGAAAACTTAGAGTCATTAATAAAGTTCACAAATGCAATCTTTATCTAGCAATTAACCTTGTGATTAATTTAATCCTATACTAATTTTTTTCATTGTTATTTCATGTGCAATTGCCACTGTATCAAGGTGCAGAATGTATTCCAGTGGTTAGGTATAAATAAATGAGAAAATGTATAATGTTTTTAAATAATATAAAAAGGTATTATATTAAATAGCAGACTATATATATATCTTGATTTATAATTTTTCTAAGCAAAATTTTTATCTTTTTCTTGGAGATGAAACTCAACTTCTTCAATGCCATAAGAAACAAACTTTTAAAACACTGGGTAGACCTACACTGAAGTCTTGATGAGGAAGAATGGCTGCTTGCTTGAGCTGAGCCATGACCTGAATGTGTTGCGACTGCCCTCCTCCTCTGGGTATGCTCAGTACTTTCAGGTGAATCAAGAGACAAAGATTTCATCCGCAGGTTCAGCTTCTGTCGTCTGGGTGAATGTGGGGCTGGAAGTAGCCCCCAAGTTACAAATTTGTCTTTAAATGTATTGATAAAAATATCACAGGTTTTTGCCTAATTAATTGCTAAGTATAAAATATTTTTATAAAAATTAACCAAGCCATGTGTTATTATTTACTTTGATATACTTTTTGTATTAATCTTTTTATATCACAGTATAAATTAGACTCAGTTGTATTAAAAGTAAAACTATATATTTTTTCAACTGATTTTTAATCATGAAAACAGTCGCACAAAAAGAAAACACTGCATAAATAAATAATATCTCAAATAATATATGGTACATTATAAAGAAAAAAAATGCAGTAGTGAAATAATGGAGATGTGTCACTGTCCTATCAAGGTAATTTTTTCACTGAGCTTCATTGAATCTTTGCACTGCGGGCTATAGAAAACAAAATTATTATTACATTGTATAGTAACATTCTTAGGTTTCGCTCTCTTAATTCATGTTTTTGAAACTAATTTAATTAATATTATTTATACAATAAGTGAAAAAATAAACAATATCCTAATTAAATTCAAATTACTATTATATAGTACCAGAGCTAAATTTTCAGGAGGTAAATATTATCATTTTCATCACTAAAGTTTTATGTATTTATATTTTTTTTATGGACAAACTTTCACAAATGAAATAAGTATTTCAAACATTCGAAGTTTTTCTATAAAGTTCCAAAAGTTATTGAGGTTTATTATTAATATGACTAATTGATTAAATACATTAAGGAAAATGTTTGATTTTGAACATCTAAGAAATGAGGAAAAGGCTTTCTGTCAAAATAAAAATAATTTGTATTTCAATAAAGTAATCACTTCATAAAAATGTTTTTCTTGACTTCTGTTTTCACAGTCTACTAATTAAATTGTTGGCTATGAACCATGGACAAATTTGTTCAGTAACCACACTAAATACTTAATCTCTTAAAAGATGTGTATGAAATAACTTTCTTGTAATACCAGGATGATCTGAGATATGTACAGACAGGAAGCATTTAAGATGACATGTATGTTAGAACAATATAATTGTGCTTTGGCCTAATGAACAGCTTTAACCAACACAAAACTGTGCAGTTGGAAACAATGATTTTCAATATGCTATCTGGTTAGCTGAATTGAAGAAAAATTGACGAAAACAAACAACCAAGAACACATATTGCTAACAAATAAAACACAAGTCAAAAGTTCTCAGTTCTCAGGCCAGTGGTCCACAAAACATTCGTAGATGAGCTTAGGTTAGAGTTCTTATGGGAACTTAACAATTTAGCTCTTCAGTACGGTGCTATTTTATATTTATTTTGGTGTACTTGACCAAAATTAATATATTGTAATGAAGTTAAACCATTAAAACGGAAAATTTCAAGCTAAATATTTTTTCCATTGAAAGAAAACAAATTCACATCAGGAAAAACAAAGAGAAAATGGATGCTTTGCATAGTGACCTTTCAATATCAACGTTTGTCAATATAGAATTTATGAAGTGATTGAATCATAAAGAAAGAGTGAATAAGCAGAAAACTGGCGATCAGGGGATTGATATAGCTGTTGAGCAAACAAAGGATTGCTAAGTGTATATCTCCTACAATTAATAAAGTCAATAATATCCAATGTTTGGAAGAAACAGAAATTATAAAAATGGTTGGATTTTAAAATTGTCCCTATTTTTTTCTATAAAATAATTTTTTAAAAGTATTATTTATTTACATGACATACACAAATAAAAATATGATTTTTTTAAATAGTAGTTATGGATATTACATAAAAAAAAATTGATATTCAAGTTATTCTAAACATTCTCATAAATTCTTTAAAACATCAAATCAATGCATTGATATTTAAGTATCTAATAAAAAAAAAAAAAAAAACAAGTAAAAGAAAATTGTTTAAAGTTTTATTATATTCAGTTAATGATAATAAATATTAATAATGATTAAACAGAACTTAAATATAATACTCATAAACATATAACTCTCAAGCAAGTCATTCTGACCACTATAATTGCATCTACATTAATTATATGCAGGTGAATAATTATGAAAATGCAAAAAGTATTATGAGACTACTATTCCTCATAGCTTAATTGTAATGAAAGAACATGCAACTACATAAGCATATTGAAAGAATTATCAAATAATTCATTTTTAAATCATTCTTGCGTGCAATTCGACGCTACAAAATGAAAAAAAAAATGTCAATACTGAACTTAATTACTACAGGGTGATTCACTTCTCTATTGAGTATCCCATGATACTACTTGTCAACAAATATAATTGTTTATAAGTACATATATTGTTTCTCCATCACCTCAATTTATTATTTAATTAAGAAAAGATAACACTATAACAGGACATAAATAATTTAACAACACATAGATCCTTAATGTAACAATAAAAGCCCATGAGCTAATATACCAGTTTCTATCACATGTAAAGCTTCCAAAAAAAAAGAAAAAGAAAAACTCGAATAACTATCAAAATGTAAGAATGAGATAGGTATCTTTTAAGGACACAACTTTATTTGTAATTAAAATATATGTATTGGTAAATATGTTAATATCATTTTTAAAAATAAGCTATAACTACAATATGAATATTATTCTTGCTAATTGTATAGTAGTATTTCAGATCTCGATTACTTTTGGGAGCTAATTGTGGCCTTTCTCTGGAATCTAAGATCCTCCTCATTAGGCCATTAGAATGGTTCTTATAAAAACAAATAATTGAAACCATATTTATCATGATCGATGAGATTAAACAAATAATTTATTGGTCCATTTTCCATATCAGTGAGTGATTTGAACCAAATACTTCTACAATTACAATATGTTCTCTTCCTAAATTATAATCCACAATTGAATATAACAATAAGGCTTCACATACTAAATGTAAGCACGTGTAAAGAAAACTACTAACATTTCATTTCTAAAAGCATTATTATTCCCATAATTACTCTTATTAAGGAAAGAAAATAAAGTTAGACCTCCAAAATATAATCTTGAATATTCTCCAATTGCCTTTAAGTAATAACTAAGCCATAAAAAAAATGTTAGGATGCTTTGTTAAAGAAGCTAATGAACTTTTGTCTGGGAATTGTTCTATTCCCTTCCTTGGCAAATGATTTATGCTTCACCCACTAAAAAATATATCTCTTACACGTTGCTGAGGGTTCAACCCTAATATTATACCTGATCACTCCCTCTATTACCTAACTTGTGCACCTATGTTTAAACAATCCTTTCTAACCTTTGATTCCAATTCAGGAACTTTTACTCGACCTAGATACACAATTCATCTACTCTTCATATATTCAAATCCTGTTTTCCTTCTCCAGTTGAACTCTCAATAAGCTATGTTTTTATGTTATGGATAAAACATGCTAATATTTATCTATATTTCATATTAGTTTAATTAATTAAACTTGTTGTTTATGTTAAATTATCTTTAAAAAGAAAATAAATATCTCTTTCAAAATAGAGGAAACAAAACCTAATGAATAATAGAGTACAAAAAAAAAAAATCATAAAAACAAATTTAAGATAGTTAACCTATATTCTTCCAATTAAGTTAAATAGTCATTATGTGGACCTCTACAATATACAGTAAAACTTTAAATATAATTTATAAAAGAGAAAACATGATATGTACTTTAAAAACAATAAAATTACATTTTAATTTTTATTTTTTATAAACATGGGTACTCTTTGATTTAATAAGTACTTCTAGTTTGGGTGTTGATTTTACCCGTTTTGATGGGTCCTATAACTTCTTGGTATGGATCTTCAGAGCTGTATAACAACTGACCTGAACGCACCGCATAATTATATGAAAGAAAATAAAATCAGGCTTAAAATCACATGACAATAGGCAAAAAGGTGTAATATTATACAATATAATCAATAAAAACTACAAGGATAAAATTTAGTTAATTTAAAATTCATGATACTAAACAAAGTTCAGATTTATTTTTATCTAAATTTTCTCCTTCTAGAGTGGGAATGATTGGTGGAAATTCCTTAGAAGTTCCTACCACTTAAGACAAATGGATTTGTTGACCAACAATGAGAGCAGTCCTCCAGGCTTGCTGGAGGTTGTGATGGATTGAATACCCTAGTCACATATCTTTAGTTTACAAAATACTACTTGTAGTCATTGATTTCCCTACTAGAGTAAACATTCATTATCAAGAGATAAACTAGTTCCTCATTCGGGTCTCCAGGTGGGAACTGCTTAAGGGAATTCATGGTGGAAGTTTAAAATTAGAAATTTAAGTATAGTGATTCCGATTCGGCCCAATCTAGATACCTATCCTTCAACAATAAACTTCATAACCATCCGAATCCTCTTGTTTCCAACCTTAATTCCTCTTCGATTCGTGATAACCCCCCCCCGAGGCACTAGCGGATCCAGGATTTGATTTTGGGGGGGGCTTCAGTCCGAAAGTTTTTTTTTTTCATAAAAATAACGATAATTACTTTGGAAAAAAAGAAAGAAACTAACTACTTGTATGAAATGGTGTTTTAGTGATTCCTAAAGCCCTTTTAAATGTAATTACACGAACAATAATACTTTAAGAGATACTTTTTAAATATTTTTTTCGATAAAACATGGTTATATTTTACCATTTTGGGGGGCTTCAGCCCGAAAGCCCCCCCCTCCCCGTAGATCCGCCCGTGCCCCGAGGAGTTTGAAAACAAGATGGCCTTGTGATCTCCTTATGTAGACATATCATTAGAGTACTACTAGAGGGTAGTTTCTCAGCAAGTGTTTTCATGTGATTATATATCTGCGTATACTATCATTTGATGTATTTGTTCTAATACAGTTGTAAATATCATAAAAGTATAGTGATGGGGAATGTAAAAAGCTATAATATGACATGTGTATTAAAATTGGTCGGCAGATAAGGGTACAATTTAAATACTGTGGTGCTCAGAAAGGTTTGCTGGCCAGGGGAGTAACTATTTGGCACGGAGGAAGCAGAAATCATT